TATACACACACATACACACTTCAAAAGAAAAAAAAACCCACTGCCATCAATTGGGCTTCCGAGTTGGTAAATCTTTATGGAAGTAGATTGCCCCGTCTTCCTTCCATGGAGTAACTGGTGGGTTTGAACTGCCAACCTTCTGGTTAGCAGTCAAAATACCTTAGGCACTGCACCACCAGAGTGCTCTCTCTCTCTCTCTATATATATATATAACACACACACACACACAAGATTGTAAGACCAATGAAGGACTCATAACAAGGTTAGAATCCTGGCTATATGACCTCAGGTTCATTCCTTAGCCTCTCTGAGCGTGCACTCCTTGATCTGTAAAATGAAATAACCTCTACTTTACTGGGAAGATATAAGTATGAATTAAAACATTTTAATTAAAAGAATCCACCTAATGCCTGAAAAATTTCCCTTTTCTTAGTGACATGTGGTTACTCTAAGCCTTAGGAACTTCTGAAATTTCCAAGCTATCAAACCTTACATTCCTTCACTAGACCGCTGAAGTTATTTAACGTTTATGCATTCATTCATTCCCTATCAGCAGCATTTGACCCAACGAATCACTGCACAGGAAAGATACCATGCTCTCCTGGTTTTCCTCTTACTTCACTGACCACTCCTTCTTTATCTCCTCTGTGGTGTCTCTGCATCTCCCAACCCTCTAAACTTGGACGAGCTCAGAGTTCTCTATTTACTCTCATTCCCTGGGTGATCTCATCTACTTTCATGGCTTTAATTACCATCTATATGCTATCGATTCCTGTTATGGATTGAATTATGTCCCCCCAAAATAAATGTTGTTACCCTAAACTCTATGTCTATGGTTATAATCCCATATGGGAATGGCTTGTCTGTGTTATGATAATGAGATGAAATTAGTGTCGAGTATGTTTTAAATCAATCTCTATTGAGCCAAAAAAGAGATTGAACAAATAAGAAAAAGAAGACGAGAGAATAGAGATACCAAGGCACATGAAGGTCTCTCAGGAGCAGAAGCTCATAGACTTTCTTTCAGAGCCAGTAAACAGAAAGACCTCCCCTAGAGCTAGCACCCTGAATTCTGACTTCTAAGTTCCTAAACTGTGAGAAAATATATTTGTTTGCATTATTTCTGTTATAGTAGTACTAGACAACTAAGATAACCCCAAAATTTTTATCTCATCTTGGATTTCTCCCCTAAACTCCTAAATAGACTTATACATCCAGCTGCCTAATTAACATTTCTACTTGACTATCTACTGTTGTTGTTATGTACCTTGGAGTTGGACCTGACTCATAGTGACCCCTCCTTGGGTTTCCGAGGCAGTATTACTACAGAAGTAGATTGCCCAAACTTCCTTCCGAGAAGTGGCTGGTGGGTTTGAACCTCCAGCCTTCTGGTTAGCAGTCAAGTGCCTTAGGCACTACACTACCAGAGCTCCTCGACTATCTACTAAGCACCTTAAATTTACCATGTCTAAAAATCAACTTCTGTTCTCTCCCAATCTTTCTCATCTCAGTTAATGGCAACTCCATCTTCCTGTTGCTCAAGTCAAAAACCACAGAAGTCATCCTCGGCACTTCTCTGTCCCTCACTTCCACATCCAACCTGCCAGCAAATCCAGTTGACTCTGCCTTCAAAAAATCTATATCCATAGCTATCAGAGAGATGCAAATCAAAACCACAATGAGATACCATTTTACTCCCAGTAGGATGTCTAACTTAAAAAAAAAAACAGAAAACAACAAATGTTAGCAAGAAACCAACATGCTGGGGAAACTGGAACCTTTACCCACTGCTGGTGAAAATGCAAAATGGTACAGCTACTGTGGAAAACAGTATGGAAAGTTCCTCAAAAATCTAAAATAGAACTATCAATTCCACTCCTCGGTATATACCCAAAAGATCTGAAAGTAGAAACTCGTACACCAATATTCATTATAGCACTATTCACAATATCTAAAAGGTAGAAACAACCTAAATGCCCACCAACAAAAAAAGAAGAAGAAGAAGAAGAAGTCAGGGCTGCTTATGTACAACAGAAAAACCTCATGGGATCTGGTTTATTGGTTTGGAGGTTTAGGGTCATGGTTTCATGGGACACTTAAGGTAACTGGCCTAAAAATACATTTAGTGCTTCTGTTCTAGCTCCTACTTCAATGCATAGTGCCTGGGGTCTTAAAAACTGGCAAGCAGCCATTTACCTAAAACAGAGGAAGAAGGAGATACAGGAATAGAAGGAGGATATGGAATGTGTGGCTAACTGCCTATATGAACAGACTCCTTTGCCATGAGACCAGAGGAACTGGATGGTAGCAGGCTACTATTACTGAACATTTAGATCAAAGTTTCCATAGAATAATCCTGATCAAAAGGAAGAAAATGTATGACAAAATTTCAAATTTTCATGGACTCCAGACTTCCAGAAATTTGGATGAACCCCTAAAACTACTGCCCTGAAATCATCTTTAAACCTTAAAACAAAAATATTCCCTGAAGTCTTCTTAAAACTGAGTAACAGTTTAGCTTAACAAGTGAAAAAGGTCTGCCTTGAGAGCACAGTGTTCTTTTAAGATCTACTCACTGCTGTTGAGTCGGACCCGACTTACAGTGACCCGTCCTCTTGGGTTTCCGAAGAAATATCACTATAGAAGTAGATTGCCCAACCTTCCTTCTGAGAAGTGGCTGGTGGGTTTGAACCGCCAGCCTTCTGGTTATCAGTCAAAAGCTTCAGGCACTATGCCACTAGAGCTCCTCTTTTAAGATCTGTATGAGATCAAATTGGTAACAGGAACTCAAAAGATTAGACAGGAATTTAGAGTGCAGTGAGTTTATGTTAATGGAGGAGGAATACAATGGTAACACAACTCAGTGTAATCAATGTCACTAAATGATACATATAGAAAGTGCTGAGTTGGTGCATGTTTTACTGTATTTATTCTCAACAAAAAAATAAATAAAATGATATATTGTAATATATAAATATATATCCAGAATCTAGCTATTTCTCCCCACATCTACCATTCCCACCCTGGTCCAATTCACTATCATCTCTTGCCTGGATTACAACAATCACTTCCAAACTAGTCTCACTGAGTCTGTTGTTGCTGCCTCTATAATCTAATTTCAACAAAGCAACAAGAGTGACCAATTTAAAATATAAGTCAAATGATGTCACTGTACTCAAAACACTTAATTTAGTGTTTTTCAACTTTTAAAAATGATTGCCCCCCTAAGGAAAACTTTTAGATGTGAAATGTTCATACTAGTTATACTGTATATTTTTTATGTACAATATATTTGTATTATCTGTGCTTTATACACAGAGTAAATTAATGTTTACTCCTCACCCTTTATCCAATGCAAATAACTAAATACTCAAATAACTATTTTATAAAAATAATTTTAAGTTAAATATTAAAAAACATGGCCAATACATGAGTAAGACAATCTAGGTACTCTGGGTATAATATTTAAAGAGGTACCCAACTCTCAGAATGTCTAAATGCAGGGCTGGCACCTGAGATAGTGCCTTTTTAAATGATGCACCTTAGGCTCCTTGCTAGCATAGATGGACAATATCAGGAAAAAGTTCTACTGCTACTGAGAAGTCTGTCAAGAATGACCCAACTGACGTTCAGTTACTGGTATAGTCAATGTACCACTTAGGACTTACTCCCCCTTATTATATACAAGGTTTGTAATATCCAAGAAGAAAGATAAAAGATCTTAAAACTCTAGGGTGTTATGTTCTAGTTGCCAAATATTTAGAATACAATCAAGCTGGCTAAAAGGAATCCTGTCTTAGAATTCTCTCATAGAAAAATGCATTACATATGGTCATTACTTGGTCACAGCCAGCTACCCAGAGGGACTGAGTAGTTGATCCTGCGGGCTTGGGACCATAGTCGCAAGGGACATCAAGCTCAATTGGCATAACATACTATACAAAACATTGTTCCACCTCCTACTTTGGCGAGTAGCGACTGGGACCTTAAAAGCTAGGAA